TCATCCTTGTTGTCCTCCAAATGTGTGGGACTACATCACCCAGCATCTAAAAGCATAAAGGCCATAATCCAGATTGATAGAAGCTGGAGTCAAAAAGTGCATCTTCGGTAGACTTGTGCATGGATTAGTTTTGGCTGGGTCTTTTTTCAGCTTCTTTGGCTTCTTCAGATGCCTGCAACAGCAAGGGTTCAGCTGTCGGACCATGTGGGTGCCAGTCTTGGCTCCTTCTGCTCTGTTTGGAATCACGCGGCATGTGGAGAGGCTGCCGCGTGTTTGCACGGGGTTTCCCTGCAAGCCCTGCCTCTTGGGCCAATCAGAGTAGAAGAAACATCTGAGATGTGTCTTACACAAGTTGTGTCTATTTAATGGGGCAAGTGCCTCCATTGTTCAGTTGTGTCCTGGCTCTAGAGAGAGGTGCTTCAGTCTGATTGCCTTGACAACGCTCACTCTCAGCTTTAGTTTTTGGCTTGGCTTGGTCTCTCCCTAGTTATGAATCTTATTGATTTCCCTTTATTGTCTAGATTCTTTATTTAGTGGGAATAGGAGTTGAAAGGTGTGGCAGAGGTGGGGGTATGCAGCTGTAGGTGTGCTTTTCTTTTAGGGTGGCTCGGAGCTTTGAGTCACCCATAATCCAAAACCTATATTGGTTTTTTCTGTTGCAAGCCGCTCTAAGTCTCCTTGGGAAGAGGAGGTGAGATATTATTATTATTATTATTATTATTATTATTATTATTATTAGAAACACAACAAGATGAGTCCACAGCAGACACTCTGCTGGCTGTTGTATTGGATCACACGTCGGACACTTCCCAAGTGTCTAGGACTGTGTGATGTATTGGCGAATAATGCTTGCAGATCCCAGTAAGGTGGCCTTCTGCAGCTGGCAGATGGTAATTTTGTCAGCGCTGATTGTGTTTAAGTGCAGGCCAAGGTCTTTAGACACTGCACCCAGTGTGCCGATCACCACTGGGACCACCTTGACTGGCTTGTGCCAGAGTCTTTGTAGTTCGATCTTTAAATCCTCATATCGTGTCATCTTTTCCAATTGTTTCTCTTCAAATCTGCTGTCACCTGGGATTGCAATATTGACAATCCACACTTTTTTTTAACACAATTGTGAGGTCAGGAGTATTGTGCTCCAAAACTCTGTCTGTCTGAATTCGGAAGTCCCAGAGTAGCTTGACGTGTTCTTTCTCTGTAACTTTTTCCGGCTTGTGATCCCACCAGTTCTTTGTCGCAGGCAGATGGTATTTGTGGCACAAGTTCCAATGAATCATCTGAGCAATGGTGTTATGCCTCTGATGATGATGATGATGATTATTATTATTATTATTATTATTATTTAATACTTCAAAAGAAAGGAGGCATGTGCATTAAAGTATGCCGTGAAGGGGGACTGCAAAGGAATGGAATTGTCCAAAGGTACAGGCTTGCCTCTGTGGAAATTCAGACAGGGATTTGAAGCTGACAGGGCTTTGAGCTGTTCAGTACAGAGGTGGGATTTGAACAAGGAAGAACCAAACCACTTATGCCTTTGAGGTGCTTAAAGAATACATTATTACAGTCCATTGTCTTTTTCTGCTATGTTCAATAGACCTATTCCTCTTGTTGTTTTAAACCTGTCTCTGGCTGGCTGTGAAGTCTGAGCTGGAGTCCAGCCACGTATACCAAAGTAAACAACCCACACAACAACACAGCCACAAGTCCACATTTAAAGGGATCAGCCTGAGGCTCAGTAACCCAAAGCAGCAAGAGAATAATTGGACAAGGGCAGGGGGAGTGAGAGGATTCCTGGAAGTTGGAGTTTTAGAGTCAACCTGGGTAATGGGATCTGTCACAATAACCATGCTGGAATTTGGAGCCAAGGTTTCAAATCTGAGGTCAAATACTGTATCAACTGCACTGAAAATGCAAGCTACTTTGGCAATGGTGCTGATCTTCAATAGCTCTACGAACAGAGGAAACACTTGCCCAGATTTATAGTTTGCTTACAATAGGTGACTAGCATATATATCCAGCGTTGCCCAAGTGTCAGAGGGGCCACTGTTTTCATTTCTTGTTCCTCCTTATACTCTTTCCTTTCTTTTCTCTTCCTTCCTCCCCTCCCTCCTTTTTCCTTCTTCTTCCCTTTCCCTCCTTCCCTTTCCCTTTCCCATTCCCTTTCCTTCCCTCTTTCTCCAGTTTAGAGAGGGCCTCCCTTACAATGTTTCCAAGGTATTGTCGAAGGCTTTCATGGCTGGAGTCACTGGGTTGTTGTAAGTTTTTCAGGCTGTATGGCCAAGTTCTAGAAGCATTCTCTCCTGACATTTTGCCTGCATCTGTGGCAAACATCCTCACAACCTCTGAGGATGCTTGCCACAGATGCAGGCAAAATGTCAGGAGAGAATGCTTATAGAATATGGCCATACAGCCCGAAAAACCTACAATGCAATGTTTCCAAGGCTTCTCCCTCCCTTCCCTTCATACATGTCACCCTTCTTTCCCAATGACATCACAGAGGGCCACTTTACCAAGCCACAGGAGATGTGGTACAGACAGACAGACAAACAAACAAATATACATACTTCGACTAGAGAGACAGACAGACAGACAGATAGATAGATAGACAGAGACAGAGACAGAGATAGAGATGATACTCTTAGCCAACTGGAGTGCTCTGGGGGGTAAGGTGTTATTTATCAGAGGAGCATAGCACATGTACACAGACTTCATCATTTCTTGTTTTTCTTTCCCACAACTCCAATAATGCACATGTTCAAATTGCTTTCAAGATTTTTTAATGATCTTTTATCACCTCTTCTTTTTATTTTGTCTCCTCGATTGTATCTGTCCAGCTTTCTCCATGCTAGTAAATCCTGCCATGTTTGACAAGTGTATTATGTGCTGCCTTCTCCCCCTCAAGCTGTGGATGAATGACCTGCCTTGTGTGTTTTAGGGACATTGTCTGATGGGCATGATCACTTATCACAAGGAAGGGCCTCCTTTGTGCTGACTCCACAAGGTATATCTACCATGCACCCTTGCGGCCACCCTCTTGCCCCTGCCTTTGTATTACAACCTGGTCCTGAATGTTTTCATCACAACCATACCAAGGGTGCATCTATACCAGGTATGGGCAAACTTCGGCCCTCTGGGTGTTTTGGATTTCAACTCCCATCATTCCTGGGAGTGTGATCGAGTGCAAGAATACTGGAGAATGATTGAAGGAGAAATCAGTAGAATATTAAATTTACAAATAGTAATAGTAAATAGAAATGTATTACATGCACGGATAACAGGAGTTAAGAATATACAAAAAGAAAAATTAGTTGAAAAATTAATAGTGTGTGCACAAATTGTTTTAGTGAGGGGTTGGAAAGATAAAACAAAATGGACATTGACTAATTGGCATAAGTATATATTTAATGTGTTAAATGTAGAAATAACAAATTGCAAATGGAATAAGATAGATTAAAAAGGTTACAATAACTAAGAGGATGTGGGAATCAGTTAGGAATTATTTAGAGAATGTGCTAAGATGTGGAGTAGAAGACTGAGATTGATATTTCAAATGTAACTTCTGTCGTTTGCTGTATAAAATGCATGTACAAGGAGGAGAGGGTGGGAGTGGGATAAAACAATTAAAAATCAATTAATTTTTTTTAAAAAAACTCCCACCAATCCTAACAGCCTCAGACCCCTCAGGAAAGGACCTGACCTGTTAGGAATGGTGGAAGTTGAAGTCCAAAACACCTAGAGAGAGGGCTGAAGTTTGCCCATGCCTGATCTATACTGTAGTATGAATGCAGTTTGACACCTCTTTAACTGACACGGTTCAACACTCTGGTGTCATTGGATTGTAAAGCCCCAGCTCTCTTTGGCAGAGAAAGGCAAAGACTTTGCAAAACTTTGTTGCTGTTCATTCATTCAGTCGCTTCCGGCTTTTCGTGACCTCATGGACCAGTCCACGCAAGAGCTCTGTCGGCCGTCACCACTCCAGCTTCTTCAAGGTCAATCCAGTCACTTCAAGGATGCCATCCATCCATCTTGTCCTTGGTCAGCCCCTCTTCCTTTTTCCTTCCATTTTCCCAGCATAATTGTCTTCTCTAAGCTTTGTCTTCTCATTATGTGACCAAAACACTTCATCTTTGCCTCTACTATCTTTCCCTCCAATGAGCAGTCGGGCTTTATTTCCTGAAGTATGAAGTGGTTGGATCCTCTCCTGGTCCATGGCACTCTCAGAACTTTCCTCCAGCACTACAGTTCAAAAGCATCTATCTTCCTTCGCTCAGTCTTCCCTATGGTCCAGCTCTCACATCTGTAGGTTACTATGGGGAATACCATTGCTTTAACTATGTGGGTCTGCGTTGCCAGTGTGATGCCTCTACTCTTCACTATTTTATTGAGATTGGTCATTGCTCTCCTCCCAAGAAGTAAACGTCTTCTGATTTCACGGCTTCAGTCTGCGTCTGCAGTAATCTTTGCACCTAGTAATACAAAGTCTGTCACGGCCTCCACATTTTCTCCCTCTATTTGCCAGTTATCAATCAGTCTTGTTGCCATAATCTTGGTGTTTTTTTATGTTTAACTGCAACCCAGCTTTTGCACTTTCTTCTGTCACCTTGATTAGAAGGCTCCTCCTCGCTTTCGGCCATCAAAGTGGTATCATCTGCATATATAAGATTGTTAATGTTTCTTCCAGCAATTTTTACCCTAGGCTTGCATTCGTCAAGCCCTGCTCATTGCATGATGTGTTCTGCCTACAAGTTGAATAGGTTGGGTGTGAGTATACAACCCTCCCGTACGCTTTTCCCAATCTTGAACCAGTCTGTTGTTCCATGGTCAGTTCTTAGCCATGGCAGTTGAAGAGGTGTCATACTGCATCCATTCTGCTTTGCACCCAAAGAGCCCTCCCTGGTCTTGCTCCAAAAAGGCCGCCTGCGCCTTTAAGAACCCTCACACCTTGCTGTAAACAAGGTGGGCTGGGATTTGGTGGGTCCTGGGTTGGGTCTGATTGGCTCCCGCCCGCTCTCGCTCTCTCGCTTGGCCTGCGTCACCTCAGATTTCCCCCGATCCACCACATCTCCCCCTGGGCAAAGGGAAGGCATCGAGACACCCCCTCCTTTCTTTCTCCCCAAAATATCCACTCGTGTGTCGGGACGAGAGAGGGGGGATCGGAGGGGTCTCCTCCTTGGCTGGAGGGTGGGAGCCAAACAAGGCTGGGGTGGAGACCCCCAAGAGGAGGAGGAGGAGGGGGAAGAGGAGGCTGTAAGGCCTTGGAGAGGAGGCTGTGCTGCTTTTGGACTCCCCTCTCCCTTCCTCAGGTGAAAGGAGGAGGGAGAGGAAGGCTGTGCCGCCTTTGGATCTCTCTCTGTCCCTTCGCAGGGCAAGAGGAGGAGGAGGAGGAGGAAGAGGCTGTGCTGTTTTTGGACCCTCTTCTCTCTTCTCGGGTGAAAGGAGGGCGAAGAGGAAGCAGTATTGCCTTTGGATCTCCCTCTGTCCCTTCGCAAGGCTGTGCCACCTTTGAGAGAAGGCTGTGCTACTTGGATCTCCTTCTCCCTTCTGAGGGTGACAGGAGGAGGAAGAGGAGGCTGTGGTGCCTTGGAGAGGAGGAGAGGGGAGACTGTGTTGCTTTTGAACCCCCCTTCTCCCTTCCTTAGGCAAAAGGAGGAGGAAGAGGAGGCTGTGCCACCTTGGAAAGGAGGCCCTGCTGCTTCTTGGATCTCCTTCTCCCTTCTGAGGGTGTCAGGAGGAGAAGAGAGGAGGCTGTGTTGCTTTTGGACTCTCCTCTCCCTTCCTCAGGCGAAAGGAGGAGGAAGAGGACCCCCTTTTCCCTTCCTCAGGAAGAAGAGGAGGCTGTGCCGCCTTTGGATCTCTCTCTCTGTCCCTTCCTAAGGCTGTGCTGCTTCTTGGATCTTCTTCTTCCTTCTGAGTGTGACAGGAGGAGGAGAGGGGAGGCTGTGCTGCTTTTGAACCCACCTCCACCCCCCTTTCCCTTCCTCAGGAGAAGGGAGGAGGAGGTTGTATTGCCTTTGGATCTCTCTCTCTCTCTGTCCCTTCGCAAGGCTGTGCTGCTTCTTGGATCCTGCTCTCCCTTTTGAAGGTGACAGGAGGAGGAAGAGGAGGTTGTGCGGCTTGGATCTCTCTCTATCTCCCTCCCTCCCTCCTCTGGGCGGGAGGAGAAGGAGGGGAGGAGGAGGCGGCTTCTCCTCCTCCTCCTCCTCCTCCTCCTCCTCCTCTCCGTCTTCCAGTGGCTCCCAGCCTCGCGTCGCCTCCTCCTCCTCCGCCGCACTGTCAGCCGAGGCGGGCATGGAGCGGAGGAGCCCTTCGGGGAGGCTGAAGCCCGGCAGCGGGAGCTTGGGGAGCCGGGCGGCTCCGGAGGGGCGCAGCAGCAGCAGCAGCAGTAGTAGCGGGCCCCCTTTGGTCTCTGCTTCGGGCGCCCTGCTCCAGCGGGTGGGCAACTGCCCGGCTCCCTCTCCCTCGGCGTCCCCGGTGGAGCCCTCGGAGCTGATCCGCCGCGCCGTGGACTTCAAGAGCCAAGGGGCGCAGTGCTACAAGGACAAGAAATTCCGCGAAGCCATCGGCAAGTACCACCGGGCGCTGCTGGAGCTGAAGGGGCTCCCGCTCTCGGCCCGGGAAGAAGAGCAGGAGGAAGAGAAGGGAGGGAAGGGGGTCCCTCCGCGCCCCGCCACCGCCGCCGCCGCCTCCGCCGCCGCCTGCAAGCTCACGGAGGAGCAGAGGCAGCTCCTGGAGAGCATCGAAATTGACTGTTACAACAGCCTGGCAGGTCAGCGGGAGCCCTGGGGAGGGGAGGGGAGGGGAGGGTTGGGCTTCGTGGGGGACCCCCACCGTCCTTTCCCCTGCCTTTGGGGGGAGCGAGGAAAGCTTTGGACCCGGCCCGGGTCTCACTCTTCCGCCCCACAATAAACTTCGCCTCCAAAGAGAGCCCAGGCGATGCCGGATGGAGCCAATGGGCAGGCTTGAGGGACAGGGGAAAGGGGGAACCCCGGGGGCAGCTAGTCCCGCCCGTTTTGCCAGGGTGGAAAATGCCCTTTGAGAGCATCCTCGACGCCAGGGGAGCTTTCCAACCTCTGGAAAACCGCTCAAGGATTCCCCCAGGCAGGAAGCAGCCGGGCTTTGACGCTGCAAGGCTATCCCTTGGGGAGAAAGGTGCGAGATGTAAATAAAGTTTATTGTTCAATGTATTGTCGAAGGCTTTCATGGCCGGAATCACTGGGTTGTTGTAGGTTTTTCCGGGCTATATGGCCATGTTCTGGAGGCAATTTTTCTCCTGACGTTTCGCCTGCATCTATGGCAAGCATCCTGAGGATGCTTGCCATAGATGCAGGCGAAACGTCAGGAGAAAAATTGCCTCCAGAACATGGCCATATAGCCCGGAAAAACCTACAACAACCCAAAGTTTATTGTTGTTATTATTATTTGATACATAACAAGATTAGTACACAGCAAACAAGATCACTATGCTGTTTGTATTTAATTGTCTCCTGTGCTGTGCTAATAGCATATTATATTATATTAATAGCCGGGCTTTGATTCTGCAAGGTTATCACTTGGGGAGACAGGTGTGGGATATAAATAAAGTTTATTATTATTATTATAATTGTTATTATTATTTGAAACACAACAAGATGAGTCCACAGCAGACACTCTGCTCACTGTTGTAGTGGATCACAAGTCGGACACTACCCAAGTGTCTAGGACTGTGTGATGTATCAGTGAATAATGCATGCAGATCCCAGTAAGGGATCTTCTGCAGCTGGCAGATGGTAATCTTGTCAGCGCTGATTGTGTTTAAGTGCAGGCCAAGGTCTTTAGGCACTGCACCCAGTGTGCTGATCACCACTGGGAACACCTTTATTGGTTTGTGTCATAGTGTTTGCAGTTCGATCTTTAAATCCTTAAAAATTAATAATAATTTTAAAATTATTATTATTACTTTACTGACACAAAAGCACAGTATGTCACAGTAAATGAGATCTATATGCTGGATTTCGTATAAAAAAATCACAAGTCGAACACTTCCCAAACATCTAGGACTGTGTGATGTATTTTTGATGATGTGGGCAGATCCAAGTAAGGTGGCCTTACTACTACTACTACTACTACTACTATTATTATTATTATTATTTTATACATGACAAGATTAGTACACAGCAAACAAGATCACTATGCTGTTTGTATTTATTTGTCTCCTGTGCTGTGCTAATAGTATAATATAATATATTGTATATACATATAATATTGATAATATTATAATGTGATACAATATACTACTACTATTAATAATATGATATTATAATTATATATTTTATATTACATGTAATATTAATAATAATATGACAGTATAATAGTATACTATAGTATAGTGATATTGTGCTATGCTAATAATATAATATATTGCCTTTGCATATTACTTGTAAGCTGCTCTGAGTCCCCTTCTGAGTGAGAAGGATGGCATATAAAGGTCATAAATAAACAAATAAATAAATATCCATTGCTAATCAAGCTGGTCAGTTGAAACATTCACACCTAGCTCCAACAGACAAGAGTTCTTTCTCCCATCCTGGACATTCCTACTTTCCTAATTTCCAATAGACCTCACAACCTCTGAGGATGCCTACCATAGATGCAGGTGAAATGTCAGGAGAGAATGCTTCTGGAACATGGCCATATAGCCCAGAAAACTCACAACAACCCAGTGATTCCAGCCATGAAAGCCTTCGACAATATATTAAACCTCTCAAGATTTCCTATATCAATCTTTCATATGGTTTGCCTTGAGTTTTCAGGGCTCCAGAAACATTCTCTCCTGATGTTTCACCCACATCTATGGCAGGCATCCTCAGAGGTTGAGAGGTCTGCTGGAAACTTGGCAAGTGGGGTTTATATATCTGTGGAATGTCCAGGGTGGGAGAAAGAACTCTTGTCTGCTTGAGGCAAGTATGAATGTTGCAATTGGCCAGTTTGATTAGCACTGAATAGTCTTGTAATGTCAAAGCCTGGCTGCTTCTTGCCTGGGAGACTCCTTTATTGGGAGGTGTTGGATGGCCCTGATTGTTTCCTGTCTGGAATTCCCTTATTTTTTGAGTGTTGTTCTTTGTTTAATGTCCTGATTTTGGAGTGTTTTTCAATATTGGTAGCCAGATTTTGTTCATTTTCTTGATTTCCTCCTTTCTGTTGAAATTGTCCACATGCTGGTGTATTTGAATGGCTTTCTAATAAGAGACAATATTTTACTACACAGTTGAATATAATGGGACTTGACTATCTGTGGGTTTAGTTATCCATGGAGGTTCCTGCAGCCGAACCCCAACAAAGGCCAAAGTAGGGTGGTCTTTTGCTGCTGGCAGATGGTAATTTTGTTAGCCTGATTGTTTTTAAGTGCAGGCTAAGATCTTTAGGCACTGCACCCAGTGTGCCAGTCACCAGTGGGACCACCTTTACTGGTTTGTGCCAGAGTCTTTGCAGTTCTATCTTTAAATCCTCATACAGTGTAAGCTTTTCCAGTTTCATCTCATCAATTCTGCTGTCGCCTGGGATTGCAACACTGACAATTCATACTTGTTTTTTTTCCCACAATCGTAAGGTCAGGAGTATTATTATTACTATTATTATTATATAGTTTTATTTGTTACCCCCCTTTCACTACGTCTTGAGGTGCAATACAGTCAAAAGACATCTAAATAAAACACATGTAACAAAATACGAAATAAATAAATAAATAAATCAAAATACATGTTGCAAAACACACCTCTATACAATGCATACACCTAAATAATCCATGGCTTAGAAATATTACTCTCCCCCGCCCAAAAAAAAAAAAATCCTAAAAGCCAACCTGGATTTTGCCATGCTTCAAAAGTTACATCATTGCACACCATTCTATGCCTAATGGGATTTGAGCACCACCACCCCCAAATTACTATAAGCAAATCTTGATTTTGCCTTTTCTAATAAGAGACACTATTTTACTACACTGTTGTATATAATGGGGCTTGAGCATCTGCAGGTTTTGTTATCCATGAAGGTACCTGGAATACAACCCCAACAAAGACCAAGGTCTCACTAATTCAGGCATGGGCAATCCTTGGCCCTCCAGGTGTTTTGGACTTCAACTCCCACAATTCCTTTTCCCCAGGAGGGGGCCAGAGGCGAGGAATTGTGGGAGTTGAAGTCCAAAATACCTGAAGGGTCAAAGTCTGCCCATGCCTGCACTAATTTGTCTCACTCTCCAACACAGTGCTTAATAAGTGTTTCCTAATGTTTCTTACAATGGCCGTGATGCCATAATTTTCACCCAAACCTCTCCGGATGGGACTAGGATCCTCACTAGTTTCATGAGCTGTGAGATTTGAGAGCTCCTTTAATGGGACAAGTAGGCTGGTAGAAACATTGCAAGATCTTTTCTGTAGGCTTCTCCCAGGCAGACAACTGGACTTTGTTTACTTACTGCCTCTGTGGCTGGTAGTTCCCAAAGATCTCCCCAGAATGTTGCCTCTTTGTCTTCTTGTAGTATTAACTGAATCTTTTGCAATGGCACTATTTCATAACTCAGACATACTTTTGTTGAAATGACAGTAAATAGATTAACTAATGATGGACAATGAACCCCTGGTGATGCAGCGGGTTAAACCGCTGAGCTGCTAAACTTGCTGACTGAAAGGTTGGCGGTTCGAATCCAGGGAGCAGGGTGAGCTCCCGCAGTTAGGCCCAGCTTCTGCCAACCTAGAAGTTCAAAAACATGCAAATGTGAGTAGATCAATAGGTACCACTTCGGTGGGAAGGTAACAGCACTCCATGCAGTCATGCTGGCCACATGACCTTGGAGGTGTATATTGACAACGCCAGCTCTTCGGCTTAGAAATGGAGATGAGCGACCCCCACCCTCCAGAGTCAGACATGGCTAGACCTAATGTCAGGGGAAAACCTTTACCTTTACCTAATGATGGACATGGGTGTCAAGTTTATCCCATACTTTACTTACTTAGGCGGTCCCTCGTTGTTCGAGTAGGATAATCCTCCAGGATGGGTCCGTAGGTGACTATAGAGCCCTATTCTTGATCTGCATTGTCTCCTGCAATGAGGGCATTGGTTTCCAGGTGCAAGGCGATCCCGGTCGGGGTTGGCTTGACGCGCCTTCCTCTTGGCACATTTCTTTCTTTCGCCCTTGTTGTGTATAAAATAATAATATTATCTCCCATAGAGCTTTCCTTCTAAATAAAATCCAACAGAGGAAATTTCAGTGGGCCAGGAAGATATGTGAATATATACATAAACATATGTGGCACCACTGAGTCTGACAGATTTCCAAAACATCACCTGCTTGGAAGAGAGCCCAACTTGCCCAATTCATAAAGTTGTGTCTTCAGTCAGCAGGTATATAGTCAGATATAAACTGACAATGTCACTTTATGCATTGGGTGAAATAGACTGCTGTCCACAAAGGTGTGATGTGTGGAAACTGCTGGGAGATTATATTATGGTTTTCACAACAACAGACTTAGACTCGCCCCAGGGTTTGTCACTAGGGGAAAATATGCAGGCATGCAGTGCTGCAGCACCACAAACACCCGCATTTTTCCACATGGAAAGGGGAAAATGTCTTTGGGGCCTAGGAGTTACTTTCCTTCAAGTAACCCAAGGGTTCAGCAGTAAGGACACCCACAGAGGCTGCAAACTATTTGTGGGGGCTCATTTGCTTCCTTATGGTACAGTTCCACATGTGTATGCCTTCATGTTAGCATGATTTTGATAGGGTTTTCTTGG